TTCTAGCCTGATGTAACACTCCGCTTATGGGCAGTTTTTGCTTTGACACTGTACTACTCCCCTACCCAACCTTTCTTCTTTCCTGCTCTCCTTTCACAGATGTCACAGCTGCACCAGAATCTGAAGGCTTTTCCTGAATTTGCTTCTTCCCTTTATCCTTTGTAGGCATTTCTCCCAGCAAATCACTTGCACATCTAATTCTTGGCCTCTACAGCTCACAGGGATGAAACTGAGTCATTAGATAACGCTGCGTCTGGAAGCCTGATCATTGTGATTCAAACTAAACACTCAATTTTTTAAAGTCCTTATCAGTCAGTGTATATTTTTAATATGTTATAGAAATTGCTTATTTCTTAAGCCACAGAGCTGTGAATATTTTGCATGCATATAAGATCTGATTATGTGAAAAAATATATTGTACCGTATTTACTGATTCAAAATAACAAATATTCTTTTATACTATTTCCTATGTCCATATCTGTTATAGAAGTATAATGAAGCAAAATCTAAATATAGTGTATTTTACAATATATCCTTTTTCTGCTCATGGATATCTTTTAAGTAAGGCATATTCATTCTGGAATCCATTTCTGATCATTCTAAAGTTGAATAATAAAGAGTTGAAATAGAAAAAGAATCTTTTACATAGTTTTCACTTGTGCCATCACCACTGAATAAGAGAAAAGATAATGTTTTTCATTTGGATACAATCATCCTCAAAGGCAAATACATGCAGATATTGTTACAAGTATAGGGACTGGGTTGGTTGATCTTCCATTACTTCTTAGCTGATAACTGCAAAAATCTGTGGCAATGAATTGAACTAAGTACATATCAAAAGAGAGCAATTACAGCTAAGTTTATGCTGGTATGCAGTGCACAAAATAAAAGGAGCATTAATAATGCTGACCTCATCACTTTTGCATTTGTCTAATAAGAATGAAGTATTTTAAGTCACTGCCATATTAATTTTAGATTTATATATTGTTTAAGATCACATTTTCTTTAGGGATTTGTTTTATATGCTGTAAAAGGTATATATTTTAGACATCTGGTTAAAAAAGAAGATGCAAGAATTGTTTCTATTCAAGCAAATGTTAGTTTCAGGCTCAGGGTTGATTTCTTTAGAAATATATGCTGTGTTTGCTTGGGTTGCTTTTTCCATGCATATTCTCTTGACAGGGACTATAGACCTTGCTGAATAGCTGTGAACCCTGAACTATACCATGTGATTTTTCTCTGTGTGACCAAAGTTACATCTGTAGTCTTCTTTTTCTCTCCAGTTTGGTTTGGGATTTCACCTGCCAGTGGAGAGCCCACCTAAAAGAGCCTAGCGTTACTTTCAATTCATTGTGTTGTGTAGTAAAGAATGTGGGCCTTTGTCCCTGGTTCTTGAGAGGGATCCTACCCTCTAAATCCTTAGATTTCCCAAGATAGTAGTGTCTTTGTTCTTTAAGATGGGGCTCTTGAGCCACACCTGAGTTTATGCTAATGAGATAGCTCCTGAAGTGCCTTTAAATAATTTATGCTAATCAAATGAGTCAGAATGGGGGCTGGCCATGCAGGAAGGACCAATCATGCTACATAGAGGTTTGGAGCTTTGAGTCCTGTGATATCAGCCTGATCTCTGAGGAGAGAAAGAAGGTTAGAGATGAAGTTCAGTTTTATAGCCAATGATTTAGTCAGTCATGCCATGTAGTGAAACTTCAATTTGAAAAAAATCATGTACAGTGATGCTTAGTTCAGATTCCTGAGCTGCTGACACTCATCAATATCCTGAGAAGCTGATACATCTTGAGGACATAGAACCTTCATGATTGGTAAACTCCCACATCTTCCTTAAGGTTTCTTCATTTAGCTTGTCCTAAATACTATGCTTATAATAAAACTAGCACTTTCTTGAATTCTGTGAGTCATTCTAGTGAATTATCAAACCAGAAGGCATACTGGGCACCTCCAAATTTGTAGCCACTTGGTCTCAAGTATGGATAGCCTGGGAACTCTAAAGCTTGTGGCTAAAGTGGGAGCAGTCTTGTGGGGGACTATGCCCTTACCCTGCGGAGCTATGTGTTTACCCTGTGAAGTTTGACCTAATTTGGATTGTTAGCATAAGAACTGCGTTGCAAATTCCTTAAATCCTAAAGCATAATCTCCTTTAATAGCCAATCAGTTTATCTGCTGAACTTTCTAATCCTCCTTCCATATTATCTACCATTCAGTCCAATTTCTCTTCTTTCATAACATTATTCACTTTCATCTCCTTCATTTCATGTTCTATTATCACATGTATATCCCTTTTTCCTTGGGCTGTTTCAATACAACTTCTCATTGCAGTCTTTTCTGTATTGGTCAGTCAAATTAGTCTCCCTTACCTTTTCGTCAAGCTCAAACCACTTTTTCAGAGGTATCTATTTAATGCCCACTGCAATACCTCTCACATAGCAGGGACTCATTTATTTGTTGAAGAACTATCTCCCTGCTATTCAAACTCCGTTGCTCTAAGGAATCCCACATGTTGGTTCCTACACATCTCTTCACTGTAGTTACTTTCATAAATGAATCCTTTATTCCAACCCAGTTATTTGCTCCCAAACAATATGGGTCCATCTCCATTCCACTGAACAAACTGCACATCTGAAATGCTACTTTTCCTTCTCTACTTGTCTAAATGCCACGTCTGTGAGCCTTCTTGGACTCCCTTCCTCAGGGATTGCTCTTACCTCTGAATTCTCTTAGCACACATTTTATGCATATTGTGTGTATTGTATGCATTTCTAATTTGAGTCTTCACCTAGACCACCTGGGATTTTATATTATTCCAGGTTCTTTTAAAAACTATACCATGGTCTTTTAAAAATAGGCAAATGTAATATATGATCTCAAAGACTAATGCATGTAAAGGTGCATAAGATTTACAATTTTTCTATAGATTTTCTTTTGTTCTGTCTAATCAGCACAAGCAGTCAAGTCTGATCTATAAAAACAATGAAGATGGGGAAAATGCCTTAGCTGCTAATGCTGAAGCTATTCTAATCAACCCAGTATTTTAGTCTGGAATGTTAGAGGGAATATTGTCCATATGGCCCTCCTTGTATCCAGAATTACAGAGAAACTAATATTTTTTTGTTGTCCTTCAGTAGGACATGTGTGATTTTTCACTTATTTGTTCTAATCTGAACTCTTCTCACCTCAGTCTCCAAAGTCAGCAAAGGCTCACATTTTCCATCATGGAACCAAGCTAAAAATACCCTTACAGGGATAACAGGGTAGCCCTCACTGTTTATAAACAGGCCAGGAATCATGTTCCAGGCTTTTATTTAACAATGTTTTTAGGCAGTTTTGCAGTCCTGACTTTGGCATATCTTCTTTCATCACCTGCATACCCATATATGAAGACTAAAGAAATACATTCTTTGTTATTTTGTGGCAAGGAGAAGAAAAACAAGATCCCATTCTCACTAATCAAGAAAGATACACAATTCAGCGTTCATTCAATAGAGACATGCCTTGAGAAGAAATGGCCTTTTTGTGAGAAAAGCACAACTTAAAAAAAATCAAATCCAAAAATGACTGGAGGGAGTTTACTGAACCTTTTGGGTGAATGGGTTCTGGGGCACTAGGTCTACATTTGTTTTAAGGAGGTTTATATGTTCTGAAACTGACTGACCAATAATACTGAAAAACTAGGGTGTTATAAAGCTGATTTTAAAGTACAGCACAACCAATCTCTCAATAAAGATGAAAGTATTTGAAAATAAAGATAAAGGGGATAGTGAAAACTGAAAAATATTAGATATTAGAAAAACATTTTTAGAGGTCTTGCTTTGTTAATATAATTTTGTAGTGATTTTGTATTCCTATACCTGAGTTAATGTTTTCCCCAAAATTGTTCTTTCAACCATTTATACCTTTGTGGGTCACTACACATTTAAAAACACTCAGTAGTAGGGGCACCTGGGTGGCTCAGTCGGTTGAGCGTCCGACTTTGGCTCACGTCATGATCTCACCATTTGTGGGTTTGAGCCCCGTGTTGGGTCCTGTGCTGACAGCTCAGCCTGGAGCCTGCTTCAGATTCTGTGTCTTCCTCTCTTTCTGCCCCTCCCCCGCTCATACTCTCTGTCTCAAAAATGAGCATTAAAAAAATTTAAAAACACTCAATTGGGAATTTGAAAATGAGCTCTTATAACTCAAAGGGATAGCAAAATTATGTATTGATGTAATGGTCTTATAGAAAACAAGATGGAGTCACTTACATCAAACAGGGGCCTATGTGAAGCAATGATGCAGGCAGTTATGGGTACTACAGCTATGAAGTATCACCGAGACCAGCATTAGCCAACACCCTAGAACTGATTACAAGCAAAAGCACAGGAGGTCTGTAGGGACCCAAAAATCATTAAATCTGTCTAAAAAGGGATTTTTGTAGCAAACTGTCAGACTCTTCAACCATGACCCCTCTATGTCTGATCAGTTAAAAAAGCAGCTGCCGCCGAAGGCTCTGCTCAGTTGATCTCTGAACAGAACTGAGATCCTTCACTGCTTGAACATCATAAGCAGTTAAGTGCCAAGAGCTGACCCGGACCTATCTGAGGCCTTGTCTCATCTGTGCGCCCACAGACTGGCTTTGTGTTTGGTTCATTAACTTTCTAACCCTGTGTATCTTGTTTGTTGTATGACTTGTCTTGTGCTCTGGCTTGTGTGCTGTGTAAGAAGCCAAGTTAATCACGTGGTGAAATGTCATTGAGTTTGGAATCCTGAACCTGCTTCATAATTATGTTAACCTTGCTTTATGACTGAAATAAAGCTGACACACAACTCATGTGTGCCTTCACTGTGTGCTCGTGCAAGTCTATAAAATGAGACAGTGACTGAAATTTTCATTTATTTTTACTTTCTTATTCCTGTCTTTTGATTTAGTTGTTAAACAGTATACTGAGCTGGTAAAAAATCAGACTAGTAGAAAGAAATGTAGATAATGTACATATTTTAAACACCTCTTTATTTTCAAAGTTTACAGATGTATGATAGGGTCTGATAACTGAGGATCATACTTGTACCAAAGCTGATTAGGAGTGAAAGGTAGAGCAAAAACATAGGTGAGAGACTGCTTTCTGGTGAAGGCCTCCAGCTCCAACTATTGAAGGTTCCAATGTTGCCTGCAGTGACTAGGACTGTCTTTGAAGAAAGTGCCTAGAACCAAACCAGAGGTACATATTGAGAGAGGCTTCTTGGGAAATATCTCACATACAGTAAGGGGTTGTATTATGGCATCAATTTGATATATATTTACAGAGCAGAGTAAATTCTGAACTATTGCGTGAAGTGTAGAATGCAGAATAGGTACCAATGGAGTGGGTTTTCTGTTTCAGGGGTCCTTGGACATTGGGCAAAAGAAGAAGTGGCCAGGAGGGAGTGGCAAGAGTGATGAGCAGGGAATGGGTTTCAGCATATCACTAAAAGGGAAGAACTGGGATCTATGTATGGGGGGATATAAACTACCCCAAAGAATGACATCTCAGAGTTTGGTGCATGTGTCTAGGGCTGAGTTGAGTGCTGCAGTCCTAGGTCAGGATTCTTCATATACTACCTATTAGTCTCTTTGTGGCTTAGTGAGAGGCACTATTTAGGAGGTAGAAGAAAAAGAAAGAAAGACAAAGAGATAAAGACAGTATTTTACCTAAAAGAGATACATCAGTAAGTTTTTGGAATCAGAAATATAGTACCTTATTTAGGAAATGTCATTCTTTCAATAATCATTTTTAAGCATTTCCTACATACCACTACTTTGGCAGGTAATAGAGCTATAAAGATGAATAGCACATTTTTCTGCCCATTAGAAGCTTATATTCTAATGGAGGATACAGACAAGTAAGTGAAAAATGATAATACAGTATGTTCCATTTTCTGATAGATTTGCTGGAGGTACACTGAGAGGGGAGGTATACTTCACCCAAATCAGGAACAAGGGAGAAGGGTCAGAAAATATTTTCAAAACAGTAGTGGCTGAGCCAAATTTAATTAATATATGTGCTCATGACTTTGTGTAGAAGGCTGTCTGTTGAGTTTTGACAATAAATACATCAGTGGCACTCAAAGATGAGTTAGGATTGGGCCTTAAATGTACATAGTTAATTTTGACTTGATAGAAATGGAAGATAATTTAAGTTTTCAAGCTGGGAGCAACATTATGATGGAAATGCTTCTAAAGTTTTTTGTCCATAGGGCAATCAGGTAAAAAGGGATTGGAGGCAGGGAGGTAAGCAATGGCAACCACTTGTGTGTGAAACAATGGAGACCTCACTGGAGAATGGTGGTTGTGAGGATAGCACAAATTGTCAGAATGTGATTCTGGATTCTGAGTTTGTTTCAAATGTTTCTTCCTCAAGAATGGGCATTTGGCTGAAACTGGTAAGCCATATATCAAACAGCAGGAGCACCCAACTGATAACTGGTCTGAAAACTATGAAACTCTCTGAAGAGGTAAACAAGGATTTGAAAGAGACATGGAAATAGATTAAATAGAGAAGGTAAAAGTTAGTTGCCAGATATGGGCATTAGGGTCCACTTACATCCTTAGTATTCCTCTAACATGGCTGGCGTTATTTTTCCAGCTTTATGAAAATGTACTGAAAGAAAATGGAAATGACTGTGTTTGTGAAAAGACTGGCACCAGATAACTTGAGGATGGCCAGTAGAAATGTGCAAGTCGAAATAAAGTTTAATACACCTGGTAATTGGTAAATATTATTTTAATACTAAATGCTCTTCAGGGGGAAAAAAGTGCGTTACGTGGCACTGAGAATGGACCCAGTATGAGAATTAAACCCTTTCAAAATAATTTATCATGAGAAATATGGAGAAATAGAGGAAGGAAATACTTAATGAGCACTTGTGTTATTCTAGATATTATGCTGGGTACATTATTAGAACAAGATATTTCTTAAATTAGAATGTGTACATATTGTAGGGCACATGGGTGGCTCAGTCAGTTAAACATCTGAGTCTTGATTTTGGCTCAAGTCATGATCTCATGGCGACTGAGCCCTGTGTTGTTGGGTTCCTTGCTGGGTGTAGAGCTGGCTTAAGATTCTTTCTCCCTCTGCCTCTGTCCTTTCTCTCTCTCTCTCTCTCTCTCTCTCTCTCTCGCCCTCGCTCTCTCTCCTCTCTCTCCCTGTCTCTCTAAAATAAAAAAATTATTTAAAAAAGAATATTCACATATTGTATTCTATCATTTCAGTTGGAAAGTTTGATAGAATAATATTAGTTCTTCCTTAAGAAGGTTATAGCATAAACAATTTTGAAAAATAGTTTGGATACAAAAATTAAATGTTCACATTCAATTAAAAATGTTTAGGCAATTGATTGCAAAAGGCATATTATACATTATACATACTTTCTATCTTTGTTTATATGTTGTAATATTTGTTGGTGCCCGTGGTTTAGGGTCAGTCCCTGTGAGGACGGCAAATGTCGGTCTCCCTGTTGGTAGAAGCTACTTTCTGACAGGGCAATTTTTCTTAGGGATGGATTGCATCAAATTCATCACTGCCACAAGAAAATTAACAAAGCAGATATCTTACAGATCTCAGCTTGAAATAATCATCTCTATATATGAAGGGCAGCATGCAATTTCGCAAATATAAATGAAAACCAATATTCTCTTTCTTTAAATATTCTAATTTATCTGAGTTATGTTTCTGAAGTATTCATGATTTGAGGTAAAAAAAAAAAAGAACTGAGTAAAAGCTTACTTAGAACAAAATAAATTACCCTTTAATATCCAGTGTAGCAACCTAGTATTTGAGAAAAGCAGAACTTCACAAAAGCTTAATATATTCAGAATTTGACAAAGTGTGACCCATTTACTGAAGCAGAAAATGCACCACAGGTTTTTCAGTGTTTCTTTTTTTTCTTTCAAAAGCAGATAAATCATATTTATCAGAGAAATAAAAGAACTGCTTTTAGACTTATTGAGGAGAAAATTGGGAAAGAAAGAGAGATAGGGAAAAAAACAACAATAAGATTTTGACTCAGAAAGATAATTCCCAAATAAAATGTAGTGGGTTTCATAGCACTGTCAGAATATGGGAAATATTTAGTCAATTTATGTAAAAGAAACTGCTAGTTAACTGTAGGTTTCTTCAGGCTCTATAGATGCTGTGAGGATATCGAACAGTTTATAGAAGCCTCATCTTCATGTTGCCATTTTCGTAGGAAAATTATGAGATTCTTGTTGTCAGAATTTTAAATAGAGAGGAAAAGGGATACAAAACTTGTACTCTGACTTATGTATTCTAAGTACTCATTTCAGTGATAGCACTTTTTATATTTTTCTGCATTGTACCAGTTTGTCAATTCCCTGAAAATGGGGAGCTCCGTCCTATACACGCTCATTCCTTGTACTTATACACCTAGTTCCTTGTACTGCATCTAACACAAATCAGCAGTATCAACAAATGTTTGTTGGCTGTAAGACTGAAGAAATAAGAATGGGGCCCATAGACATTTCTTCATAAAAGAGTATATATATTAACACATAGAATGAGATACTTTTTATTAATCAAGCCCTTAAAGTACATGAATATGATCACTGATGATGTTTAAATATTTTATCCTTCCAAGAAGAACTTACATAAAAGAAATTCATTTCATTTGTATCACTTAACAATTTTATAAAATACTGAAAAAGCATGTCAATGTAATTACTATTACTTCAACAATTTCAAATGGTGAACGTTATGACGACAAGCTAGAAGAATGACTGAGAAATTTCACTTTTCAATCATATTTTTAGATTTTTTGGATCATTCAGATTTTTTTTGTTTTAGATTCATACTTTAAGTCAAAATCAGAAGTGGGACTAAAACTGAGTTTTCTAACAATATGAGTAAATTTTAAGTTATACAGAAGGATTAAAAGTCTCTCTCTCTCAAAAAAAAATCTTTCAAATGCAGTTTCTTTATTCACTAACAGTTACTCCCAGTGACCTGATGGTACAGATCAGACGTGGCTAGAATGAGTTGAGTCCACAGTGCTGCAGATGAAATTAATAAAAAAAAAATTGGAAATCACTTTCGAGACCCTTGAAAACCATTTCCAGTCTAAAGCCACAGGGCAGAAGTGATCAATAATGGTGGCCATTTGGCTCATTCATTTCTTTTAATGAACACAGTCACAACTCACTAAAAGCATTCTTGTAAGACTGGGATGGATTTCAATTCTCTGGTGACTGACAGAAATAGAACCTTTGATGAAACTTGGAGGGAGTCGCACTGCTCCCCACCAACCTTCTTCCCTCTCATCTTTATAACTTGGTGTTGTTTCACACAGAAAAAATATGTTATCTTGGTACAGACTACAAGCAGTTGATCGGCAACTATTAGCAAAAGTCTCCTCATGATTATTAATGCAGCTTATTTTAAGAAAGCATCCCCAACTGTGGATCCATTTCAAATATGTAAAGTCTAATAAATGTAGGAATAAAGGCTTCATGAAAAAAATGGGCAGTGAGCTGGTTTAATCATTTTATTAATATTCAGTAGGATCATTTCCATTTCAGCAGTCACTGCCCGAGTTCAAGTAAGCATTAATTTGTATCTAATAAAGTGCCATTAATACTGAGGATCCTTATAAATTGCTTTTGATAAATGAGCAACATCTGGATTATTGCCTCAGTCTCTTAACTTGTCTCACTTATTCAAGTTTCTTCCAATTATTACCTATTTTATATCTAACTACCGGGAGAAACAAAACAAAACAAAAATCCTTTCTTCAATTTCCACCAATATTTAATTCCCTGCTTATGAAACTAGAGTTTGCTTATTCAAAATTCTTGTGCCTGAGATTAGATTTTTTCCACTGATTTTCCTAGATCCTTATTTCCTTCTATTCAGTTAATCTCTTGTTGAATATATATTTTTTAAAAAGTGCATTTTTAAAAAAATGGCAATAGTAATACCAAAAAATAGTACCAATTTTTTGGTATTATAATCTCAAATAAGGTAAGTTTAAGAATTTCTAAAATGAAAATACTAGCCTGTTGGCAAATAAAGACTCGAAGGTCTCTTCGATTTCAGAACATGTCCCTTTCTTGGATCTAAGTCAGAGGTGACTTGGGCAAGGATGGAAGGAGATGGGGGTAGGGGGAGTGATGATTCACTGGGCCTTTCTCTTTGTTGCTTCCTTTATTCCTTATTTGTAATACCATATCATCTGAACAAGAGAGTTTTAATATTCAAAGGGATAGTAAATATTTTCAGGGCAAATGAACAGTGTAGTTACAAATCAAGAGTAATACTGAGTATGTATTTTAACCCTTTAGATGGGGTTTTCTGAGGTTCTAGTATCACAGTTGCATGTCACATGGAAATGAATTATGTCTTGTTGTAATAGTTCATGTTCCAAGTGGGGACATGAAGATAAACTTAGATAAAAATTCCATAAAGGCATGAGAGAGATGAGGAGACTTTCAACAGTCTGGTTGTGTGGTGTGAACCTTAATGTCGATAAATATTAATTTCAGGACTTGGAATAAAAAAATAATATTTATTTAGTTTTGAGACAGAGACAGAGTGTGAGCAGGGGAGGGGCAGAGAGAGAGGGAGGCACAGAATCTGAAGCAGGCTCCAGGCTCTGAGCTGTCAGCACAGAGCCCTGTGTGGGGCCCAAACTCACTAACCGCAAGATCATGACCTAAGGTGAAGTCAGATGCCCAAATGACTAAGCCACCCAAGTGCCCCAACAGGCCTTGGAATTTTAATTGAATACTTTCATCAGCAAGATTATTTAAATGCCTAGATTCATTCATAGTTTCTATGTCACTAGAGAGTTATTTTTGAGAATAATATCACCTTTGTCTTTATACTCTTCAGCATCAATTACAGCTTTCCACTTCATGGAATCCCAGAGAATCTGGGCACATCTGCCAATCAGCTCTGTTATGAAGTGTCAACTCTATAATGAAAAAACAATTTCAACAACAATTTATGAGATCAAATATAGAAACAAGCTATTGAATTTGCTTCTTCACTTGTTTTTCCTCTCTCATCCTGTGTTGAGAAATACATCTCCCACAAATACATTCTCCAATTTCTGCCAAATTATGTCCTTAACTGAGTCCCACACCTAAAATGGACTTTCTCATTTGCCCATATCATTCTGCTCAGAACTGCCATTTTAACATCTCCAAATGATGCTTTATTCATTTCACTTATATTTTCCAATGACATCCCTACAAAATGAAAAAGAATATTTTTATTTCATATAATCAAGGACCTCCATGATTTGATTGCTTTTTACTTGCTCAATTTTTCTGTATTAACCACCTCCGGAACACTGACTGCTGCATGCGACTCTGGAACATAATTTATACTTATCCACTTGGCTTCTCATCTCCAGTTTGGCCACTTTCTCACTCTCTTTTCTACTCCTGAAAAGCTCTCCTCTTCTCAGCCTACTTCTACCAGCCACCCTCTCCTCTATGCACTTTCCTGGATTTCCCCAACTGCAAATTCTCTTCATTAGCAAGATGCACATAAGACTTTCCATCCAATACAGAAGTTTGAAACTACAGGTGATTTTTCACTCGGTCTTTGGATATGAGCGATATCTGCACATATTTTTGGGTGTCACTAGGGAGAAGGTGCTATTAGCTCTAGTGGGCAGAAGTCAGGGACGCTGCTAAACATCCCACAATACAGGACAGTTTTCCACCACTAAGAATGATAGGGTCCAACGTGTCAATTGTGCCACTGTTGAAAACCTTAACTTAACCCAATTTGATACCTCCATTTCAATCCTACTCATAATTTTACTTCAATAAGTTTATGTTTAGTTATGTGTATTAGGATCTAAGCCTCTGGAATAACAGGACGCCACTGTATGCAGAATTTTATTTCCTCCGAAGTCTAGCACAAACTCTGGTATATGTGGGCACTCAAAAGTATTTTAAAATCTATGTGATATGGAATATGTACAATCAGCATGCAGGAAGAAAATACTCACCAATCAAGCTACATTAAGTTCAGTATATACTTTCTTTGAAAGCTTTGAAAATTCACCTGTCATTTGAGGATCTTTTAATGATGCAAATCAATTCGCATTATGCTAGTAAAGAGAGAATATATGGGTCAGTATATACTTATTGTTGGTAAGCAAAAACAAAGACATATTACAAACATTACTGTATTTTCACAGGAGATGAAAAATGTAGAGTCTGAGGTTTTCAGGGATAGTGTATCTATCCTTAGTGGTTATCTTCTATTTCTCCTATGGTAGATTTGTTGAATTGTTGTTGTTATTGTTGTATACTATGCCACAAATGATCCTTGTTCCATGAGGGTCTCTCCGCCGCTGGGAGGTATGTATTGGTTAAATCAGCTCCAATTTGTTTGTATTCATCTAAATAGTGCATCTAGCTGTTGGGCAAAATAAAACATTAAATTATCTTGCCAGCTTGCTATAAATATTTGAAAATGATTGCTATTGGAATACATAAACAGTTTTTTAAGCTTCCCTTTGAAATAAGCAGATGCATTTTGCTTACTAATGGAATATCTATTTTTATATAATGCCCAACAGTCTCCAATATATAGAAAACTGAGCGGAGCTGATGGTGCCCTGTTCCCTGTTCTAGAGGACATGTTCAAGCAATCTGCCTGACAATCAAGATCTTCCAAAATCTGCCCCCTAGTTACCTGTGTCTGTTTCACAAATGTCCTGCTTTGGCTGAATCATTTCATTTATAATCTCTTGAATGTTATTTCTTACTTCCTCCACCTCTAAGGTTTGCTCTTTTTCTTCTGTCCCCTCAAGGTTTTCAATCATAGAATGAGTTTCTCTTTTTAGTTCTCTTATGTCTATTGAATTGCTGGTCATTCTAAACCATACATGTCACATGCCAACTTCCCTAAAAAGAATCCGTTTATCTTTAAATCATGCCTTGCCTTTAAAAGACAGCATCTTATACAACTTAATTAACTTCTACTGACATGTTGTTGCCATTATATTTGTACATTATTATTTTTCCTTTTCCTTCAGATTGTAAAGTCCGAGAAGTAGGGGTCATGATTTACGACATCTTTGAATCATACTCAGCACTAGTATACTGTCCTATACATAGTAATTGTTCATTATACAGTAGTTGAATGGATGTTGAATGAATTATGGTTTTGCTTTAGAAGTAGAAAATAGTGTGGCAACCTGGTTATAAAATAGGAAATAAAATTTGTTTTTTATTTAATAAATGTCAAGAATAAATGAAGGGAGGATTTTTACAGACATAATAATTAAAAGTAGTGTCTAAATCATGTTTGGATATTGATTTAACCAAACTAACTACAAAGGAACATCTTTGACATAATTGGAGAAATGTGCATATAGAATAGGTACTAGATGATATTAAGGATCTATGATATGACAAGTGTGTTCATTGTGTCAGAAATAGATTTTAAAAGTTAGAAATATGGGGCACCTGGGTGGCTCAGTTGGTTGATTAAGTGTCTGACTCTTGGTTTCGGTTCGGGTCATGATCTCATAGCTCACAAGATCAAGTCCCACGTTGGGCTACATGCTGACAGTGCAGAACCTGATGGGGATCCTCTCTCTCCCTCTCTCTCTGCCCTCCCCTGCTCATGCATATGCTGTCTTTCTCAAAAGAAATCAATAAACTTAAATAAAATAAAATATTCTAATAAAAAGTACTAGGGATAGTAAAAGAGTTAGCAACAATTGGCTAAATATTGATAATTACTGAAGCAGAGTGAAGGCTACATAGTGTCATTATACTCTCTCACTCTAGTTCAGTGTAAATTTAAATATTTTCACTGAAAGTTCCAGTATATATATAAAGTGCTATAGGAAAATCATAGGAGAATAATCTTTCAGTCATTTTATGTATTTACTTTCTGGGACTCGAGTGACTTGGATAAAATTTCATTTTACAATGTTTAACCCAACACTTAGGCGCCAATTCAACATGTGGAAACATTGTACTGGTTGCACAATGTGCTACTCTTGTGGATGGCATAGAAGCCATAGGGAGCTGAGTGAATCCGTCTGGCTTTTCCCTCTTCTCTAATGACCCCCTTTTTATTATTCATAACTGTCTGGCCTGAAGAACGTTAGTGTCAACATAATAGCCAGCTGCTGCCCCCAGATGACTTACTCTCTTATCCTGAGAATAGGCCTGTACAAAGCAAAGAATAAATTTTCGTCTTTGCTAGCTACACTGGATCCACTCATCCTTAATGTCATGGAAGAGAAATGATATGATAAAAAAAGAATACTTTTCTGTAACAGACATGCCAGGGATCAGGTAAGTTGACAGAGAAGCTGTAGACATTACCAAGTAGCAAATGCTATAGGAAGATGGCAAAGAGAACACAGATGAATTTGTGATCTGAATACTAGACTTGTTATTGTCAAGTCTTTCTCTAATACTCATTCTTGTATTTCCATCTTTGTTGCCACTCTCCTAGATAAGTTCCTCTTTACAACTCCTTCAGCTGATGATCCAAAGCTGCTAACCTTGGTTATCTCCAAAAGCGTGCCCAAATCACCCCCAAAAGCATAGAATCTAAATTAGAATCTTGTGCTTGATAAGGAAACACAGCTTCTTCATCTTCCCAGGTTTGAATCACCAACATGCCTTTCTTTCTATTGACAGCTATGCACCTCCATTTTCCAGTGAGTTACTTCACCATCTTTCCTGGTGGTCTCTTTGCGTCTAATCTTTTCCTCTTCAATACATACTATCAGATGGTTCTATATTAGGCTTCCTAAAATATGGCACTTATACCAATCTCATGTTCAAAACCTTGCAGTGGCTTACCAGTGCTATCACAAAGTCCATTTCTGTTCCCTCAGCATTTCAGGCCTCACAAATGTGTCTGGAGTCTGCTTTTAAGCACTTGAAACTATAAATCAACAGAACTAATTGCACTTCCCTGAAAATACTCTACTTTTGGGTCTCCACTCTTTGGCTTATTAATGCTATAATTATTTAAAGCCTCTCTATACATTTCTGCTTGAGACCCTCCAATTCTTTCATCTTCCTCTAAAACTTTAGTCTTTCTTGTCTCTGTCAGAATCTGTCTCTTACTTTCTAAGTTTATACAGCTCTTCATGTGTATCTTTCTTGGACTATGTCTTCTCACTGGTATTGCAACATTGTATGAGCTTCATTTTTCCAATGAACCCTAAGTTTTTTTTTTAATGTTTATTCATTTTTGAGAGAGAGACATACACAGAATGGAAGCAGACTCCAGGCTCGAAACTGTCAGTACAGAGCCTGATACGGGGCTCAAACTCACGAATAGTGATATCATGACCTGAGTGGAGGTGGGGTGCTTAACCTTTTAAGCCAGCCAGGTGGCCCTCCAATCAACCCTAAGATTTTAAGAACACAGTTTACTCATTTCACCTTTGTGTCCCTAGTCTCTGGCACAGTGCTCTCTGCTTAGAAGATGGTTAGTAAATACTGGTTAACGGGCTGGTAGAAGGAATACTAAAAATTCTATTCAAAGATAGAGATCAAGGGAAAACAGTGTTTCCACAAGTTTAAACATTAAGGTGTTTAAATTCTAATTATTACATAAACTACTGCCATTTATTTGAGGCTATACCAGGCATTAGACTAAGTGCATCTTTACATTGTTACATTTATTCCTCTCAATTTAATAACTTGCTAGATGACAAATTTGAGATTTGAAGAGATTAAGTAACTTATCTATACATGGTCTATCTGATTCAAAACCAGGTCTGCTTGAAGTCAAACTTAGTCACTTTTCTATTATGTCTGGGAAGTCCTAGGGTTTAACAGATATAACTCAAAGGATGCTTTAAGAGATTTAAAACAACAACAACAACAAAAACTAGGGCGCTTGGGTGGCTCAGTCAGTTAAGCATCCGACTTTGGCTCAGGTCATGATCTCATGGTTCGTGGGTTCGAGCCCTGCGTCAGGCTCTGTGCTGACAGCTCAGAGCCTGGAGCCTGTTTCGGATTCTGTGTCTCCCTGTCTCTCTGACCCTCCCCTGCTCACGCTGTCACGGTCTCTCTCTCTCTCTCAAAAATAAATAAAACATTTAAAAAACTTAAAAAAAGACAAAAAACAAAAAAAAAACCCAAAAAAAACTCCTACAGAAGATATTCTTTTACTTTAATAACAGAAGCTTTTGTTTTTTTGCAGTGAAGTTTTTTATTTTCATTTTTATCTGCAAGGAGGGACGTACACTTTTCATTTTCATTAATTCCTTTATTAACAATTGTCTTGTATACTTAAGGATTTCACATATTTAATTTGTTTGGAAGTATGTAAATATATAACCCATCACATAATGTAGCAAGTTGCATTTGCTTCCCCAGAGCAGGCATGTCATCAGCCTGTGTGTCTATTTAAACAATACCATCGTATTCTAACACATATGTTCCAATCCACTTTCGTGTTGTTCTCAGAACCAATTTCTAAGTCTTGCAAGAAAATCAGTTTCATTACTTGACAGTCTCAATTTCTTTGCTACAAATAGTTTTACTTCTTTGCAGAAATTCTTTGATTCTAAAAAAATGAGTGCCATCATGACACTTAAATGTGGTTTTTAATCTTAATTTTATTTATTTACTCATAGTTTTTATTTTTATTTAAAAACTTTAAAAATAATTTTTACTTATTTTTGAGAGAGAGAGAGACAGCGCATAAGCAAGGGAGGGGCAGAGAGAGAGGGAGACACAGAATCTGAAGCAGGCTCCAGGCTCTGATCTGTCAGCACAGAGCCCGATGTGGGGCTCGAAACCACAAATGGTGAGATCATGACCTGAGCCAAACTCAGACTCTAAATGGAACTACACAGGTGCCCCAAGATGTGGTTTTTAAAAGCCCATTCCCAAAAAGAATTTAAAAAATTATTTGGGTGATCCATGGCTCCTCATGGTGACCACTTAAAAGATAAATAATTTAAATGTGTAAATTTTAGTGTGTGTGTGTGCGTTCTGATCTGTATACATATAGACATATATGTGTTGTGTATATATATATATATATATATATATATATATATATATATACACGATACATATATATACACACAGATATACATATATATATATACAC